TGATGCATAGAATCCTTCAATATTGGAACTCGAGGCTTGAATTTTTTCTTCAGTTCTCTCAGCTTGAGATATGCTAAGGATATTCTTCCCTTTTGGTTTTCTAAACCCAAGTTTGTGCACATTTTGTTATAACATTTTTCTTTTTGAGTTTACATGTGAAATTTTCTGTTCACCTCTTTTACCTCTTCATTCCTTCCATTTGCTTTATCATTTCTGCACTGGAGAGCAAGTTTCAGAGTCTTTTCAGCCATCCATTTTGGTCTTTTCCTTCTTTCTTGTCTTTTTAATGACCTTTTGATTTCTTCCTATAGGATGTTCTTGATGTCATCCCACATTTCTTCTCATCTTCTGTCTTTAGTGTCTAATGTATAAATCTGTTCTTCAGATGATCTCTAAATTCAGGTGGGATATGTTCAAGGTCATATTTTGGCTCTCATGTACTTGTTTTAATTTTCCTCAGCTTCAGCCTGAACTTACAGATGAGCAATTGATGGTCTGTCCCACAGCCAGTGCTGGCTTTGTTTTGGCTGACAATACAGAGCTTTCCCACTGTCTTTTTCCACAGATTTAATCAATTTGATTTCTGTGTATTCTATCTGGTGAGGTCCATCTGTATAGTTTTTGTTTTTGTTTTTTTGTTTTTTTAATGTTATTTAAAAAGGTATTTGCAATGAAGAAGCCATTGGTCTTGCATAATTCTAACATGTAATCTCCAGCATCATTTCTATTATGAAGGCCAGAATTTCCAACTACTGATACTTCCTGTTTGTTTCTAATCTTTTCATTTTCACTGCCAGTAACTATCAATACATCTTGAAAGCATGTTTGATCAATTTGATTGAAGAAGTTGGTAGAATTCTTCGATTTCATCATCACTAGTTTGGGGGTTGGTGTATAAATTTGAGTAACAGTGGTATTAACTGGTCTTCCATGTGTTGTTGTTGTTAAGTACCGTGGAGTTGGTTCTGACTCATAGTGACCCTGTACAGGGTTTCTGAGGCTGTAAGTCTCTGCGGGAGCAGAAAGCCTCATCTTTCTCCCACAGAATGGCTGGTAGTTTCAAACTGCTGACCTTGAGGTTAGCAGCTTCATTTGTAACCACTACGCTACCAGAGCGCCTTTGTCTTTCATGTAAGTGCCTGGGTATTATTAGCCTTTTACAGACAGCATTGTACCTCATGGCTGATCTGGATATGTTCTTTTTGATGATGAATGTAATACCATTCCTCTTCAATTTGTCATTCGCCGCATAGTAAACCACATGATTGTCAGATTCAAAATGGCCAATAGCAGCCCATTTCAGCTCAAGAATGCCTAGGATATCGATGTTTATGAGTTACATTTCATTTTTGACAATTTCCAATTTTTCCTAGATTCATACTTTGTAGATTCCATATTCTGATTATTAATGGATGATTACAGCAGTTCCTTTTTATTTTGAACTTTTTCTGTGCCACCAGCAAAGACATTTAGCATGAAACATATCATTCACGTTCTCACAACAATGGCCACTCTGAAGGGATGACAATTCTTTATTCCAGGAGGGCATGATCTCATGTAACATTAGAAATGAAATGTGGCTCCAATCAGTGACTCAGGAATACTGGTGACGCCTCAACAGAAAATCTTCTTACCTCGATGAGGTTCAGCTTCTACATTTGCAACTACTCACATGCCAATGAGTTGTGTTGTGCATAGGGAAATGTTATCATTAAAAAGCAGGAAGAAAAAAAACATCCTCTATTTCTTGCCCTTTCTATCAACTCCAAAGTCTGCAACTAGAGAACCACTGTCAAATTCCAAGACATAAGAATTATTTCAAAACAGCAATACAAAGAAATATCATTAACCAATCATCCTGTCATCTGATTCTATATTGATTCTTGAGACGTACATCCATATTGGGGTGTTTTAGCAAACATGTGTAAACGGATCATCCTGATATTGAGCATACAATTCTAAAAGTTCCTGGGAAAATGGAATGGAATGATCATGGAACTTTTCTATGAATTTTTGAAGCCCCCTCGTATTTGAAGTGATGCTACAACAAGTATTACATGCAACTGAAACGGTACTGCTGAGGGCTTCAGAGAACCGTCACAAATGTCTGCGCGCTCAAAGTTAGCGGACTGTTGTTGTCAAGTACCACTGAGTTGGTTCCAACTCAACAGCGACCTTGTCTAGGGTATTCCAGGCTATGAGGCTTTGCAAGAGCAGAAATCTTCATCTTTCTCCTGCAGAGCAGCTAGTGGGCTCGAGCTGCCAACTCTGTGGTCTGCAGTTCCTTGCTTATCCTACAGAGCCCTGCAATTCCCCAAAGGTATCATCTAGAACCATATGCTAAAGAAGATCACTTTTTGTACTCTTAACTTCAAAATTCCCAGAGTACTGGAATATAGCTGTGGGCAGTTTTCCATTCCAAGAGCTTAGCCAAGCCACCCTGAGAGCTACGCTGTCAAATGGAATCAACACCACCAAGTATAATTTATGCCATCCAAAATCTGCGAAGCTATTCACAAGTTGTCTCTCTATTTCCACCACAGTACTCAAAATGTCAAAATTGAGATTTTTTAAACGTGGCAAGAGGCAATATATTCAGTTACCAGTTGCTAGCTGCTCAATGTGCATGACCACTCTAAACAACACCACCTGCGTTTCTTGAATAAACCCTTAAAATATGAAACAAAACAAAAAACACCATGCAATTTTTTTTTAATCCTCCCAGCAGTTTTTTTTTTTTTTTTCCTTTACAAAAAATAACTGTTGACCGCATATTGGCTGCATCTCCAATTACAGTAAGCAAAGAAAAATATGCTTGAAATGGAATTAAGTCAACTGATATCATAGTTTACAGAGAAAGAAATACTTTAATGTGCATACATATACATACGTGTTAATATGTTGCTGTTATTAAGTGCTGTTGAGTCTTTTCTGACTCCAGGTAATTATGTATGGGATTTCCAGAGAGAGGCTGGTGGGTTTGCACTGCTGACTGTGTAGCCAGCAGTCCAGTGCTTATCCCTCAGCATCACACCAGAACTCCATGTTAGCACTGTTGTTAATAGTTGCATTGAGTAACAACGACAACGTATAGGGTTTCTGAGAAGCAATGAGTGGGTTTGAACTATACACTTCGTGGTTCGAATTCCAGTGCAGATCCTATAGCACCACACCAGGATTCCTTCCATGTTAGTATAGTGGTGATGGTGGTGTGCTGTGGAGTCAGTTCGACTCAATAGTGACCCTGTAGAGGGTTTCCGAGGCTGTAAATCTTTACAGGAGCAGAAAGTCTCATCTTTCTCCCACAGAACAGCTGGTATTTCAAACTGCTGACCTTGAGGTTTACAGCCTGATTCATAACCATAACACTACCAGAGCTCTGAGTATGAAATATTGAACCTTGTACATTAATTACATGTATTACAATATAAACGTTTTCAGATGCCATTAACTATTCTTTGAGAACATGACTTTAATCAATGTCTACTATTCCACTCTAGAGTTATGCCAAGTTTATTTAATAATCCTCCATTTGATAAACATTGAATCTATTTCAGTTTTTGCCTAATATAATGACAGATTCTACAAATGACAGACTTTCAGTTCAATTTGCTAAATAATTCATTCCTTTCCTATTGATTCATTGGCCTTATTTTATTTGTGTACACAAAATTTTGATCATTTTTAATATCCTTCATTTGTTGTTGTTGTCAGGTGCCATTGAGTCGGAACCGACTCATAGCGACCCCATGCACAGCAGAACGAAACAATGTCCGATCCTGGGCCAACCTCACTACCGCCACCACACTTGAGTCCACCTGGCCAATCCATCTCATTAGGGGTCTTCCTCTTTATCTCTGACCCTCCACCCTACCCAGCATGACATCCTTCTCCAGCAACTGTTTCCTCCGGACAATATGTCCAAAATATCCTTCACTAGTAAATGTGAATCATTGGATTCAGGCGCTCCACAGTTTTGAAGCTTCACCACCAAACTGCTTCCAAAAATTCCATACTATTACATACTTGAACAACCAGAATGCACAGTACTCATCCCAAAGGACCTGCATCAGAACCGAGCACAGCATGTTGATGACCAAGCCCCTGCCCATGAGTCAATTTCAGCTCTTAGCAACTGTACAGCACAGAGTAGACTCTCTCCGTAGTGTTTCCAAGATTGCAAATCTTTAAGGGAGCAGACAGCCTGTATCTTTCACCCTCAGAACTACTGATGAATTTGAACTGCTGACCTTGAGGTTAACAGACCCATGCTTAACCCACAGCTCCACCATGGCACCTGTGTTGATGACAGTCTATGCTAATTTAGTTTTAGATATTACTTATTGCTTGTGAGATTTAACTTTCTTTTCATAAGCTTGTTAGCCATTTAGAGATTTTCTTTTTTAATTAATGTTCTCTGCAGATTAAAAAAAAAAAAAAATTGGGTATGTGGTTTCTATTGTTCAATTTATTTGCTCCCCAAATACTAGCACTTCTCTTGTAGTATTTGTGACAAATGCTTGACCTCAGATTTTCATAAACAGTCATTTTGCTTATGTTATTTACTGCAGGAGAAAGATGAGTCTTTCTGCTCTTGAAAAAAATTTAAAGCCGAGGGAACTTGATACAGGGTCATTATGAGTCTGAATTGACTCCAAGGCAATGAACAACAACCATCACCATGACAAAACCCAAAAAGCTGACAGCCCTCATTAGATTCCAACTCATAATGACCGTCTACGGCAGAGTAGAACTGCCCCATAGGGTTTCCAAGGCTGAAAATCTTTATGGAAGCAGAATGCCACATCTGTCTCCAAGTGAGAGGTGACTGGGTTTGAACCACCCAATATTTAACCACTATGCCAACAGGTCTCCTTATGAAATCTAGAAGGTGATAATAGTTTTATTTTCTTTAATTTTTGTAATAATCCTTGGACAATGAAAGAAAATGAAATATAATTCTACATTTCTGATAGTATTTTTAGAATTGTATTATTTACATTAACTGCATGCGTGGAACTATATTGTAACATAATGAAATGTTCACATCTTAGGCATAATGTTGACTCAGTTTTGACAAACGCATATTAAGACGTATTTCAGAAAGTCTTCTTACGCTACTTTAAGCTGTCTCTGCCTCAAGAAGCAACCAACCTGATTCGAACACATGAGTCCTGGGGTCAGATAACACTGGACTGCTAAGTACAAGGGCCGAGGGCTCAAATTCACCAGCCATCCCTCAGAAACCCTATACAGGGTCATTGTAGTCAGCTGTCTAGTGTATTTCCTATACTGCCCTGGAAAAAATAAGGATTTAAAATTTGAAATGTCCATCTAACATGAACTTTCTTGTGGGAATAGTATCTGAATTCTGAGAAAAAGTATGTGTTGTGTTAATGAAAAGAAGGGGGGGCCGGCCAGAACATGGGGTTGCTTTCCTTCCTTCTGTACCATGCAGGAGCCTGAGTCTATATGAAAGTGGCTGAGAGCACAAGAAAAAGAAGTTTAGAGCAAAGAATTTCATCAATAACCACTTTTTATCTCCACAACAGATGTTAGCTTTCACCTTTACAGATGTTTGCACACATGGATCATCTTAGCTCATCGCAGAGTAAGTAAGAGCAAACTGTATGGACTGCTTTCAATTAAACACTTGTGGCAACACAGCCATTCTGATGTCAAGACAACGCTGTGGTCAAGGCTAAGCAATGTGTCATTTCCTTGACCACATGCCACCACAAGGCACAGAAAGTGGTTTATTACCTCAATTCTCAATGCATTTGAATCTTCTTTCTTACGAGAAACACCAATCTTAATCCATGTAAATTACTGATACAATAAAAGGTTGTCTATTGAGGAATAAACTGTGCCATTGAATGCTAAAATACTAAAAAGGGCTTAAGGGAAAAACTAACTGAATGTATAATGACAAATGTCTTGCTGTGTATTTATTTCACTGGCAGGGTCAACATGGTGGACAGATTTCAGCTGAGCGTCCAGACAAAGGCAGATTCAGAAGAAGGAGAGGGAAGCTACTTCCGGATATTTAGTGATAGAAAACATTATGGATAGCAGTGAAACACTGTCAGATAACACTCGGATACTGAATGCTGCACCATGATGAATAGCGCCAGAATATTGTCAGATATAGTGCTGGAAGATGAGCCCCTCAGGTTGGAGGTGGCTGGGAAGAGCTGCCTCTTTAAAGCAGAGTTGACCGTGATGACGCACATAGAGTAAAGCCTTCGGGAATCTCATTTGCTGATGGGGCACAACTCAAAATGAAGAGAAATTGCTGTTAACACCCATTAATAATTGGAACACAGAACATATGAAGTATGAATCTAGGATAATTGGAAGTTGTCAAAAATGCAATGGAACACATAAACATCAGTATCCTAGGAATTAGTGAGCTGAAATGGACTGGTATTGGCCATTCTGAAACTAAATCACATGGTTTACTATGACGGGAAATGAAAAATTGAGGAGAAATTAAAATTATATTCATCATCAAAAAGAACATTTCACGATCTATCTTGAAGTATAATGCTGTCTGTGCTAAGATAATATCCATGTGTCTACAAGGAAGACAAGACCATTTTTATTCAAATTAATACAACAACCACCACCCTAAATGCTCCAGATCCCATCTGATCTCGGAAGCTAAACAGGCTCCGGTCTAGTAAGGACTTTGGAGTCCTGGTGTGACACGGTGGGTTAATACACCACACTGAAAAGTCAGTTTGAACCACAAGGGCAGCGGTTCAAGCTCACCGACGGCTCCTTGGAAACCCTATACAGGGTTGCTATGGGTCAGAACAGACTAAAGGGCACTTACCAGCAACCAACTTCTTATATCTGAAAGTTTTGATTCAAACATGCAGTAAAAGATGTAATTACTGGAGACTGAAATGCAAAGGTTGGAGACAAAGAAGAAAGATCAGTAGCTGGAAAATATGGCCTTGGTGATGTAAATGATGCTGGAGGTCATATGACAATTTTGCAAGACTGATTGATGACTTCATTGGAAATACTGTTTTTAACCAACAGAAAAGATGACTCTACACATGGACCTCACTAGACGGAATGCATAGAAATCAAATTGACTACATCTGTGGAAAGAGATGGTAGAAAAGCTCCTTATCTGCCAAAACAAGGCCTGTGGAACAGACCATCAATTGCTCATATACAAGTTCAGGTAGAAGTTGAACAAAATGAAAAAAAGTCCACGAGAGCTAAAGTATGACCTTAAATATATCACACCTGAATTTATAAATCATCTGAAGAACAGATTTGATGCATTAGACACTAATGATTGAAAACAATAAGAAGTATGGGAAAACATCAAGAACATCATACAGGATGAAAGCAAAAGGTCATTAAGAAGACAAGGAAAAAAGAAAAGACCAAAAGGGAAGTCAGAAGAGACTCTGAAACTTGCTCTCCTGCATAGAGATGCTAAAGCAAATGAAGAAATGAAGGGGTAAAAGAACTGACCAGAAAATTTCAAAGGGTAACTCATGAAGATAGAGTCAGATATTTTCATGGAATGTGTAAAGATCTGGAGTTATTAAACCAAAGAGAAGGAAGTACATGCTCAGCATTTCTTAGGGTGAAAGAATGGAGGAAAAAATTCAAACCTCAACATGAAATACTGAAGGATTCTTCGAGCAAAATATTGAATGATGCCGAAACCATCAAAACAAGATGAAAAGGATGCACAGTGTCACTGTACAAAAAAAGAAATAATCGATGTTCAACCATTTCAGGATTAACAGCCAATCGTACTGAAGGAAGAAATGCATGAAAGGCATTGGCAAAGAGCAAGGCTCCAGAATTGATAGACTACAAATTAAAATCTTCAACAAACTGATGTAGCACTTGAGGCACTCATTTATCTATGCCAAGAAATTTGGAATACAACTTCCTTGATCAATTGATTGGAAGAAATCCATATCTGTACTCATTCCAGAGAGGTAATCAAACAGAATGAGAAATGATTGGAAAGTATCATTAATAACAAATGCAAGTTAAAGTTTTCTGAAAATAATTTAAAAATGGCTACAACAGTACATTGACAAGGAACTGCTTGAAGTTCAAGACAGATTCACAGGAGGATGTGGAATGTGGGTTATCATTCCCGATGTTAGAGGGATCTTCGCTGAAAGCAGAGAATGCCAGAACGATGTGCTTTCCTGACTATGCAAAGGCTTTGGACTGTGTGGATAGTGACAAGCTATGGACAACACTGCAGAGTACGAGTATTCCAAACACTTAAATGTGCTCATGAGGAACCTGTACATAGACAAAGAGGGAGTCATTCGAACTTGGGAAGACAAAGCCTTCTTTGACCAAATGGTTTAAAATCAGGAAAGGTGGGTGACAGGTTCAAAATCTTTCACCATGCTTACTCAATCTGAATGCTGAGCAAATAATCCGAGAAGCTGGAAATATATAAACAAGAACATGGCATCAGGATGGAGGAAGACTCATGGACAACCTGTGATATACAGATGATGTGACCTTGCTTGCTGAAAGCAAAAAGGATTTAAAATACTGATGAAGATCCAAGATCACAGTCTTTGTTGTGGGTTTCACCTCACTTTAAAGAAAACAAAAATTCTCACCACATGACCAAAAAATAATCTTACGATAAATGGAGAAAAGATTGAAGTTCTCAAAGACTTTATTTGGCTTGGATCAACCAACCAACACTCAAGGAAGCAGCAGACAAGAAATCAAACAACATACTGAATTTGGGCAAATCCGCTGCACAAAACCTCTTTAAGGTGTTCAAAATCAAAGATGTCAGTTTGAGACAAAGGTATGCTTGATCCAAGCCATGATATTTTCAATCACCTCAGATGCTTGTGAACATTGGACAAGAATAAGGAAGACTGTGTAAGAACTGATGTATTTGAATTATGGTGTTTTAGAATAACATTAAAGATACCATGGACTGCTCGAAGAACAAATAAACCTGTGTTGGTAGAAGTACAAACAGAATGTTCCTTAGAAGCCACGGTGGCCATACTTTGTGTCTCATACTTTGGATATTATCAGAAGGGACCAGTCCTTTGAGAAGGACATCAAACTTGATAAAATGGAGACACAGAAAAAAGAGGGAGACCCCCAATGACATGGATTAGCACAGTGACAGCAACAAGGGGCTGAAGTGTAGCAGCAATTGTGAGCATGGTGCAGGACCAGGTGGTATTTCATGGTCTTGTTCATAGAGTCGCTGGGGATTGGAACTAACTTGACAGCACTTAACAACAATGACAACAACAGCAATGTAGTAGATAATCGAAAGCTGGAGGAGTCTCTAAAGACCAAGATCTGGAGTTGTTCTTCAAACTATGATCTGAAACTATCCCCTGAAGTTACCTTTAAACTAAAACCGTTTAGCCCAAAGAGTAAAGATTGTCACCCTTGAGAATGGAATTACTTAAAAACAACAACAACCAAAAAACCCCAACATACAGAAGGCACTGTGGGTTAATGCGCCTGACTGCAAAGCTGTTTGAACTGCAAGCTCAGTGGTTCAAGCTCACCAGCTGCTCCTTAGAAACCCTATACAGAGTTGCTATGGGTTGGAGCCACTCAATGGCACTTTGTAACAACAACATAGAAGACAAAGGGTCAACAACTATTTTAAAAGACGGTTAAGGGCAAGAAGATGAAGTAAATGGAAGTGAAACCAGTAGAACAGAAATAACAACCACGTTGGCACAATGTGAAGATGTTACCAATGCCACCGATTAGTACATAAGGAAACTATGGTAAAGGAGTGGATCGCGTTGTGTGGTATGTTTTGACCAAACCAAGATAAAAAAAGGCTGCAGTGGTAACTGAGAGCTTAGCAAAGGATGGCTCATAGGATGGCATGCTTTTCAGGATTTTAATTACCTTGCTAAAATAACAAATTCGGTTCCTACACATTTTAACTAAAATATGTGGGTGTATTGTTCAGGGGAGACACATTATTCCCCCAAACAATCGGAA